TTTCTTTTATTGAATGTTTTTGATATTACCTTGAGCAGAAAAGTAGTTGCTGTTGTTGTCATAATAAGGAAGGAGGGAAGGGAGGGAGGGAGGGAAGGAGAAACATTCCTGAATAAAGTTTTCAGTGTTGTCCATCACTCCCTGCTTGGGAAGCTTCAGCCAGTGGCGGTGAAGGTAGTTGAAGACCAGGGATCTGTATTGCAACCTCACCTGGGCATGAAGCTGATTGTGAAAATCCCTTGGGGAAGGGAGGAATGGTTGGTTTGGTCAAATGAGACTTGGCTATCTCTTGTGGAGAAGCAAGACTAGGGCGAGAGCTTGGATTGGGCTCCTGCGCTTCTGGCACAGCATGCTCCCTCGAAGGTTCATGGTTGACAACTGTTTCCTTCTGTTTTGTGGATGTTTCTGTGGCATTAACATGAAGATGGTGTAGCTCTTGGTGTTCAGACCCAGACTGTGATTAGACAAAAGATACCAAAAAGTTGTTCAGGCAATTGACCATTATCTACATTATAGATTGTTAGGGATACACCCTAGCAGAATCTGCATGGCAGTCAGGCAGGCAAGCAAAATATGTGAGATAAACGTTTTTGTAGCTTACACTCAGTAAAACAGATACACTGTGCTAGTTAAATAGTTTATTCCAGCAAGAGTTTTAGCATAGTCAAAACAGTCCATATTTCATTCACTAGTTCAGTCCCTCCAGGGATTATTCAGTTGCAAATTCCAGTGTCGAAAAAGAGGTCACTAAACTTACAAATATCAGTTCAGTAATATATCTCCTCGCAGTAGAGATATGAAGAAGTCACACCTCCTTTCTTCCTTCAGCATTCAACCACTCAGCAGTAGGGAAACACGCAGTTAACAAACCATCAATCCATGCAATCCAGTCAGGAATCATCAGCAATTCAACAGGTTCTCTTGCTCCCTCTTATGGCGATTCACAACCGCACCCAAAAGTACATGCTTTGCAGTTCAAAGTGACAAGCACTTAAACTTACTATCATAGTTTATGTATATTATTTTACCCAAACTACGTTAGGTAAACTTGTTATTCCTAACATAGGTTGTGTTAACTTATTTCATGAAATGTTCAAGACAGTTGATTCTGCTCTCTAGATGCAACAGAGGGAGACCTCTCCAGCTGTACTTCCTCACAGGAACAACTTAATTATTGTCAGTCTTGCTAGGAGGATGGATAGGAAACACGTCCAATTCTACTTTGTTGTATGGATATATTAAAAAAAAAATCTCGCAAATCTGAAGGTACAAATCACCCATCTCCTTTACAGCCCAAGAAACTAGGGAGCGTAACTTCTGAACTTCTTTCTCCATCCATTATGCAGCTGCTGGCTATCTGTCCTAGTGGTTAACGTGAAGAATTGCAGGGAAACTCTGCCCACAGTCTGGAGTTTGATGCTGACAGGGCTCAAGGTTGATTCAGCCTTCCATCTTTTGGAGGTCGGTAAAATGAGGACCCAGATTGTTGGGGGCAATATGCAAATAATGTTTACATTATAAAGAGAGTGCTATAAAGAACTATGGGACAATATACAAGCCTTACATGCTATTGCTATTGCTCTCTTTGTGCCATCTCTTTCCACATACATTTACAATTACCTATCAACTTCTTTCTCTACTTATTTGTGAGATGGATGTCATTCGATTGTTGCTAGTGATTTCATTGTATTCCTGTATTTTAAGTTTTATAAACTTCCAGAGGCTTTAGGCAGAATTTTAAGGTCAAAATATAATAAAGATCATTATTAAAATAATGGCATCTCATTAAAATCTTATAAGGAGATTTTCATCTGCCTGCTTAATCAAGTCAGGTCTTAAGTAGTGATTCATTGAGTTATTATTTAACTGAGAAATCTGTTGGTTTGCTGGTTTGAAGTCCAGTCAATGTGTTTTAAAATATAAACTATACTTAACAACACAGGAATAAATATTTTCTGCAGATGATAGCTGTCTTAGGAACTTACCGGATGTGGAAAGAGTTCACAATTCGCAGTGACAATGTTGGTACCTACTTTCCAGGTTTCTATCTTAGAGCCTTTGCATAGGCCTCTCACCTAGAACAAAGGAGAAAGTTTTCATCAACAAAATCCAAGAAATTTAACCTGCCATGATTTCTAATATGCAGTGGGATAGCACTGGATATGGTTGATCAGATGTTCTGTATCAAAAGACCTTCTCCATTTCTCCCACTGGTTGACACGCCATTTCTCATCAGAATGACCATTTCTGTTGTCCCATTAAGAGCCTCCATGGGAAAGCTGAATTCTTCTGCTATGCTTTTTAGAATTTTAAAATCTTTCTTAGCATAGTAATCAAACCATTCTATGGATTTATTGAAATTGATTTTCTAGAATAGGAAATGCATTTTGGTGTTCCAGATATTAATTTTGGTATTTTAATAATTATATTGCTATAATGATATACTCTTTGATCATTGTAGAATTCTCCTGCAAAGTTTTAGAAATTGATAATTAACTATAGGGTTCATGGGTTTGGCTTGGGAAATAACAAATTACTATGTCTGAATTCAGATGCAAACTAACTGAAACAGACTTCTTCCTTCACTTGTTAAGGGCTTATTTAAGGTTGGAGAACCAATTTTTTGGGATGATAAGATTATTCCAGCTAGGAATGGAGTTTGTTTGGAGCAGAATTCCACCAATGCCCATTCCAACACGACTCTAATCCTGCTCTCCATTTCTAGAAGGGTGACATATATCCTTCAGTTGAATGGTAAAAATAATGGTCTGAAAGTAGGTTTAAATATTAGCCTCTTTGGAGGCTTCAATGTGCTTCATTATTTATTTGTTTATTAAATTTATATGCCACCCATCTTAGTGTCCTGAGTGACTGTGATGGCTTACAATAGAATAAAAATATAGGAATAAAACATTAAACCTCCATTGCCCTCATTGTTATTCTTTCTACGTTTAGATGGATTTATTATGGCTAATATGAGCATTTGCCTCCCAGTTATTCTTCATTTGCTAACTTGCTAAACACATTGATGAATAAAAGAACTAAACAAGAAACTACTCAAGGAGAGAAGCAACCTAGAACTAAGGAGAAATTTCCTGACAATTAGAATAATTAATCAGTAAAATGACTTTTTCCAGAAATTATGGGTGCTGCACCACAGGAGGTTTTTAAGAAGAGTTTGGACAATCATTTGTCTGAAATAGTAGTAGTTTCCTGCTTGAGCAGTGGACTAGAAGACGTCTTCCAACTCTGTTGTTCTGTTCTGTTCTGTTCTGTTCTGATAAGAACAGTGTAAAATTTGGTTCTTTAGAAGATATGTATTGAACCACGATTTCAATCTAGGTTTTATGCAAGATTGTGAATACTTACTGCAGTTTCAGTAGGAAGGAAAGAGCATTGAGTGATGTCAGACACAGGTGGTCTTTTAGGACAGGAAGTCTCCTGGATGGTGAATTCTATATTGTGCAAAATTCCACTAACCACCTATAGAAAGTCATAAACATTTAGAGTAGGTCACATTGTCTGCAGGAAATGGTCCCCATAATCTTGAGTGCCCTATCAATCTTTATTCACCTGAAGTCTGTAAGACAGTCTGTAAGAGTCCCCATAATTCTTAGCACTAGGAGAACTGATAGGATGTCAAATGTTGTTATCAAGAAGGGGACACAAATACATTCAGTAATCAAATTGAATGTAATATT